TGTGTATATATATATGAAATATAAAACAATCTTAAATCTTTGTCCTTTTTACACAATTAATCCTTTTAATGCTCAAACTCGAATTTACTATATTAATACTTAAAATGATTTCATTTCTACAAGAGTTGATTTATTTCACATTGTAAGAATAATTCTATGTAACTAAATGTCTCAATAATTAATATATGTACATTGTCTCAAATGTTTTTTGAAACTCATACTGGCTTATTTTTCACCCCCTTTTCAGAGTTAATAGACAGCACAGAGACATCCTTCCTGTCTCCTTTCTCCTCCCACAATGAGGCCGACCTGTCCCTGCCTCTGCTGATCTCCTCTTCCCCAGGGCTGAACAAAAGCTGCTGTTTCCAGAGAGAACCTCCAGAGGGCTGCGAGAAGGTCAGAGTGTGTGAAGAGACCAGGTATGTTTTATAGGGCTCTTTGTAATGGAGTGAGCCAGTGTAATTATAGTTGGACGCCTTCTCTTTTTGCACACTTTATTGTGTTTTTATATTTAAAATGGACACAACTGCCATTATTGCACATCCATCTGCACTCAGTAAGCCATAATAACAAAGTGAAACATTTTTTTTGCAAATATATTTAAACCAACAACTGAAAACTCTCATTTACAAAAATATTCAGAATCTGAATCTGGAATTTTATACTAGTTGCAGCTTCAAGCCTTCTTGAGTAAGGCTTTAGGAGTTGTGCACATCTGGATTTGGACAGTTTACTCATGTCTTCTGTCAGATCCTCTCAAGCTTTGTCTGAATGAATGAATGGGAAACATCAAGCACAGTCAGTGATGTGTCCTGAAGCCACTCCAGTGTTGTCTCTGCTGTTTGCTTGGGGTCACTGTTGTTCTGTAAGATGAACCTTCACCCCAGTTGCATGATGTATGCACTCTGGAGCAGGTTTTCTTAAAAGACCTCTTTGTATCTGGTTGTATTCATCCTTGGTTCTGACCAGTGTCCCTGTTCCTGAGAAGTCTCCATAGCATGATGCTGTCATCACTGTGCTTTAATTCAGGGAAGGTCACTGCTTGGTTTTCACCACACAAAGTGCTTGGAGTTCTGTCCAGAGGGTTAAATTTTTCTCATCAGACATAATCCTTGTCTTCATTCTCTTAGTCCTTTAAATGCTGTTTATCAATGAATTTAATCATGAATTAAAATGACACCTCAACACAGTAAAGTGTCTGTGTGAAGAGGTCTGATTACTTCCTGAAGGGACTGTTCAGTCTGTGTCAGATCAGATTGAGTCAGTGTGTGGGCGCCCTCTGCTGATGACTTTCTTGTCCTTATACAAAAATGATTCACCTGTGATTTATAAAATAGAAAAGTTTGGTTTCTTTTAGGCATGTCATACAACTTGTTTTTAAGTTTAGTAAACAATGTTCAGAGAAGTAAAAAGTTGAAGCTTTTTTTGTTTGTTTTTTTTTGTGTGCAAAAAGTCTAACTCTGTTCCGGGTTTTAGGACTCACTACTATGGCACTCTATAGGTTTTAGTACTGAGTGGAATAGTGGGTTAAATGCACAAGGAGTGACTACTTTTAGCTTATTTGCACAGTATACAAGTGTAGCTATCATTACTTCAATAGTAACAGTAAAAGTTAGTGGTATCCTAAACTGTGTATGTATGTAACCAGGCCTCATTTCCACCATATAGGCTTCGACATGAATTAGTTTTGTCATTCATTTCTCACAGCCGCTCTCCTTTTATTCTGCAGTGCTGCACACCAACCCAAGCCAGCCCTCATCTCCTCCTGCCCAGATCCCAACAAGGTAAACTTCACCTCCCACGGAGGCTCAGCCTTCTGCCCCGTCAGCCTCCTCAAACCCTTGTTACCCTCGATGGACCTTTTGTTCTGCAGCCTTGCTGTCTCTCCAGTAGGCAGCTGCTCGAGCCAGGGAACAGGCTCCTGCCAGACGACGTCCTCTGGCAGCCACACTGCTCCTCCAGATTCCCTCATGCCCATGACCACTGCTACAGTCCTAGGAGAGAGCTCTGGGGAGGGCCTCGCTTTCTGATCACAGTTGCAGATGTTGTTGTGGTAGATTGCGCAGAAAACAAATCTTTCATGGTTTGGGACAGATATGTTGGTGTTGCTTTACTTTAGAAAAGGCCCTTACCTTTTCTACACAGGTATAAAATAACTTTATGTTAAAAAAATATTATGAAAAAAAGTTATGTACTCATACACAATCCAAAGGGCATATGCTTTATAAGCTACTTGTTTTAGGCTTCTGGGCATTGTACGTCTCTAAATTAGTACCTTTTTGTTTCTGACATTATTATCCAAAGATTGATTTTTGGCCATACCAGAGTGTGAGAGATGTCTTAGGAGATATAATCTGTTGGATGATTGGCCCCCATCACTTGCTGCACAGATTATTTTCTGTTTTCCCCAAAGAAGCAATCACACACTTTTTTTTGGTCGATCCTGGTTTTTAAACTCTTGACTGCAGTGTGTCATCTCTGTCTATGTGACAACACAGTCTGGGCCAACTAAGAAAAACCCTTCTTGGATAGGTTTGGTTGTTTTTAAGAATTCAAAGATGTTTCTCTGCAATTCACCTTTAAAAAAAAAAAAAACTCTTAACTCTACCTTGCACGTGTTGCTGGTGGTGTACAAAGCACGACAAATCAACTGGGTACTTTTCATTTACCTGATTGAAATCACTTTTTGATTACAGTAGACTTAAGGGATTTTGCCAGATGTAGGACTTGGGTAGCATCAGTACCTAAACATCAGCTCATTTATTCCTGCTTTAAAAACATGTTCCAATGTTGTTTTGTTATAATCTTGTTTACTTGCAAACAAAGTAACTTGTGCACATGGTAATGGATGGAAACCTGTTACTCCTTGATGTTCTAGATGTGTGCTTGATGGTATGTTAATTTTGAGGCTTTGCAGCCTAGTTGACTGACTGACCAGTTTTAGTGGTGTAGATTTGTCATCCTGTTTCTCTGACGATGTCCCGTTTCTTCTACCAAGCTGACAAGTTGATGTTCAGATAGTTTTATTTCTAGTATACATGTTTGCACAAATTGAAATGCTACTTCTGAGTCGCAATTCTTATTTTTATATTCACTTTTGTACTTCATTGTAAATGTAAGGGTAGTACTGTGTATTTTCTGCATCTTTTTTTCAATTGCCTGCAACATAAGCTAAAAAAAAGCCCATACTCTTCAATTGCCTGCAACATAAGCTAAAAAAAGCCCATACTCTTAGTTTTGTTCTGTCAGAATAATTGAGGCAGGTGTTACAAGAGATATTGTATCAGGTGGATTTTTATGCACTTCCAGGAGAGGGTTTTATGTGTAGAAGACATGTCACTTCCGTATGGTAGTCTCGGGATTAGAGTTATGTTTGTGTATGTATGTGTGTGTGTGCGTGTACTCACATGGACAAAGTTAGAGTCTGATCATCTGAATAGCTTCTCTTAGTTTTAGTTTCCTGGTGAAATACTGATGGATTCAAACATTGTCAGTTTCCAGATAAGCCTCTAATTGTAATGTTTTGCATCTGGGTGGATGCTGGGGACATGCTGTTATCTCAGGTTCTGGGTTCTGTCCACATAAACCTCTGATTGATAATGTGGTGTCTTTGTCATTATTAAATTGATCATTGTCAAATAAGAACAGTGTTCCTTTCCTTGCTATTAGATCATCCAGATGTTTGTTCTTAAGAAGTTACTTTCATATGGCACTGTGACAGTTCATCAAACTATGTTGAAGATGAGGAGAAACTGGAAACTTGAACACACACACACACACACACACACACACACACACACACACACAATTCAATAGCAGCTGGACAAGCTCTTACCGCAGAAAAGCTCCAGAGCAGCTACTTTAATTGTCATAGTGGTGAGGCAGTTTTAGGCTGACACCTTGAGTCGGTGTCCTTAACCAACACCAGTGTTTATGCTTTTGTTTCTTGAGGTCTGAATTAATGTAAATGGTCCCTTTTAATATATTAAAAATACAGAAAATGTGGTTAGTAATGATATTTAACTTGCTGTTCCACACAATAGGCGGGCATACAGGGTACAGATGTGCAGCTGCTGTCGTTGCACTGTGGGATTGGCTGGCAGCAGAGGAGCTAGTGTGCGCTTCAGTGTACGCGCAGGCCCGTAGGAAACGACAGGAGATTATCCGCAGAAGCGCACATTTTGCCCGTACATTTTTGCTCAAGTGGGAGGGTTGTCCGCCATGTCGTCCATGTTCAGGATGGTCGGCAAACAGCTCAAGACCCACCCATCTGTAAGTCTCAAACGCTGTCTTTTATTATTTGTAAACGACCCGGTGACATTGGAAGCGCTGGGAGGTCGTGGTGTGGTCAAGCGCGCCCCCGTTCCACCAAACCTCTCCTTCATTATTTGATGAATGATAATTCGCCGCATTTATTTATTCAGATAGCTTCACCTTTCTTCACTGAATTCAAGCATTGGGACACATGCAATATGCGGCAAATTCCCTTAGCTCATGGCTGCAAAAATGTGACATTCCGTGACAGATGTAGACACGTGATCTCGGATAAACTGAATAATAACGCTATTTTGCACCACTCTGTTCTTCTTATCTTTCCTCCTGTAAGATTTTATAGCCTAGGCTGTTTTTACTTCGCCACCCTCTTTAGCTTCATAGGAGGACTAGGCTGTTTTTAAGGCTTTTATTTTATTTTTGTATCTTAAAGGATAAGGCACCTGCTCCGATAATGTAGCCTCTGTTGCAACTCTGTTGCTTAAATGGAATAAAATGGATGACTTGCTATGATAATGATTTAGGGGAAATATCTGTCCATAAAGGTCTACATTCGCAATCATCTATGAAATCACTGCAGCACGTAGGCCAAGATAGCACCGTCTCCATCGAGGCCAAGGCGATGTTAATCTGTTTCTCCAAGGGCGACGGGGTGAAACATTTTGCTTTATGATAGCGTCCATAAACGGTGTGAGCTTATGACATAGATGGAAATATTATGTAGGCATTTTATGGACTCTTGTGACAGGCTGTTATTATTACTCCCAAGAGATTAGACACATACTATTCTCACAATAAGCCTCTTACTGTATATAGGTAGCATATAGCTTGTACTCTTGAGCTGGCATTTCACAGTAAAACTCTGTTGCTTAAATGGAATAAAATGGTTGCAAACCTTAGGGGCGAATACATTAACTGATACTTTAATTTCTAAAATTTTCCTGTAATCTTTGCTTTTTTAAAACTTGAGAATTGATAGATCACTTTTTGATTTAAGAAAACCTTGTGCTTTAAGAAGTCACAAACCAGAAAGCATTGGAATAAAGAACAGTAGGAACTAATATGAACAACACAAGATCTTTATTGTTGGCTGAACACAAATAATGTTGACTGATCATGTTCTTTGGCCACTAGCTGATTCCCCTCTTCATCTTCATTGGTGGTGGAGCAACCATGAGCATGCTGTACTTAGGGCGGCTGGCTCTGAAAAACCCTGATGTCTCGTAAGTACCAGTAATATCTGAGACAAAATGCAGTGACACTTAACAATCTTGTTGTGGAAAAATCCTTGCTGTCTTAATGTTTTTAAAACCCCAGTGTGTGTTTGTTACAATATTATGTTCTTTGTGAAGAACACTAATCACATCAGGGATATTTTGATTCAATTATAAGATCTTTTTTATGTCCTCAGCTGGGATCACAAGAACAACCCTGAGCCCTGGAACAATATCGAGCCCAATCAGCAGTACAAAGTAAGAGCTTTTCTGCACATATTTTACCAATAACCTTTCCGGTTCTGTTGCTCTTGTTTTTCATATTACTTTAAATGTCATTAAAGTTCAATTCCATATCTGTGAAGAACACACATATCTGCTTTCTTATCTTACCTCAAAGTCCATTTTGCTTACTCACTGTGTACATATCTTCCTGTATGTGTTTCCAGTTTTTCACAGTTAACACGGACTACTCCAAGCTGAAGAAGGATAGGCCAGATTTCTAAGTCACTTGTACTACTGATTTTGTTGTTAGTGCATGAGCCTTTGCACTTTTTCCAGATACAAAATGAGCCATGACACCGAATGAAGATGCTACACTCGCTCATTTGATTAATTTCCAGAATGAAGGGGAAGTGATTGTTTTATGAATAAAACAGGCAACCACCTGTTTTAACCATTTCAGTTGATTTTTTGATTTTGTGTGAATTATTAAAACCATTTCAGTCACACTTCTCACTTGCATTTGTATTTTTGCACCCTTTAGGTTTACAGAATCTTTATTGACTGATTGATAACCTGATGATTTCTAATGGATGCATTAGAAGTGACATCTTTAAGGTTTCATAAACAGGTGTTCATATTAGCACTTTTTGGTGGTATGGTAATGACTGACTTGCAAAAAAAATATATTTAAATTGTAGTATTATGAGACAAATATTCTAAGTGTCATGAAGTATTATAAGAAAAAAATTACTCAAAAACACACACTGTCTGCCTGTTCATTTTTTTCAACTACACTCAGGTATAGCTAGCTAAAGCTAATGCAGTCTAATGCAGCAGGCCTTCAATGATGCCTCCCATCATAAAGGCAATTCTTTCAGAGACAACCACCCTGAATGAATATTTAATATTTTTGCAAAGGTAAAGTCAGTTACTTTTTTCTAAGTTGAAAATATGTGTTTGTTTCTGTTAGAGTATTTATAATTTATGATAACCTTTTGAGTTTTGACAGTATTCCAGTCTTCCTGCTTGGTTTCCTTTTGATTGGTGCATTGATTTGCTCTTTTTGCCTTTTTTTTTTAACCAGCAGGGTGCGTTAATACACTAACAAATGAAAAAATATTGGGCAAGAAATACAATCCTACAGGGTCACTACTGTGACTGGGCAAGAAATTATATTTAGGCTATTATTATTTGAAGAATATTATTTTCTCAAGTTTCATAAACACAAAAAGAAATGTAAGTATGACTTTCATAATAGATCAGGAACATCGTTTAAAATAGCTGTAAAATCTTCAAAATGAAAAGGCTGGAGCATCTGTGCTTAAATGTCGTTTCTGGTTTAAGATTTGTCACACACCATTTGTTCTCTTATGTATTTATGTCTTATGTTAAATGTCATTGTGATTTGTATATCCAATTAAAATCTGATAATCTAATTTACATATGCCTGTGCACATCAAGCATGCCAACAAACAGATTTTAAAAACATTTATGTCACATAAATGAGTAAATAATATTTAAAAAAAATCACAAAATGCCGAAATCCGTGTTTCCCTCGATGCTTTAATTGGTGGCAGTAGCATCCCGCTAGTCAATTAAAATAGTAGAAGAAGAGGACACATCTCGCGAGGTTTCACTTTAAAATAACGCGGTACCAGAGTCTATAAATATTTTGATATAATCGCGCGGGACATTGTGAGTAGTGAAGCTGTGGAATAAAGACCTTATATGATAGCTAACACAGAATTGATGATGTTTAACTAGACCAACCCTGATATAAATATCGTTCCTCGGTTCAGCCTGGTTTGTTGGATTCAGTTTTCTGCAGTAAAATTTCCGAAGCAGTTCAACCGTTTGTCAGCTGATTGTGGTCGTTGGGTTTCTAGCTAAATGGACCATACGGAGGATTTATCTGCTCGGGTCCTGCTAAAACATATTCTCAGCACCGAGCCACCGAGGACTCCCATTACCCGCAGGTAACTTACTTCAGCATCAACTTAACCGTAAGTAAGTTATTGTGGGAAGAAATAATCAAGTCAAATAATTCGTGTTTCAAGCCCCAAATAACTAGCTAACGCCTGTCAAGGCAGTGCTAATGTTACGCATCCTCGAGTCAGCTTAATGAATGTTAAGTTAAAAAGTCTGCTAACCTAACGTTAACGTTAGTTATGTTGTTTGCTTGTGTTGAATGTAACTGCTAAGTTAGAATTAAAACTATAGTGGAAGCTAACAGAATTCTGCAAGTGTACACCTAACAGCTGACACGGGAGGTGGGGCAATTTTATGCCAAGTTTCCATAAAGTCTTGATTTTCAGGTTGTTAAGGTAACGTTACAGATGAGTCTCAGTAACTTTGTAGTATTGCACTAATGATAAGTTGTCTGTAGTGCCTCCAAAGCACAGAGTACCACCGGGACTAGGCGCAGGGGGAAAGATGCAGATTCCCGCACCCCACAGGACATCTTGAGGCGCAGCCAGAGACATAAAATGCGTGAGGTGAGGAAGACAAGCATGGTATATACTAGTAATGGACATATTGTTGAGTCCTTAAAGTGGATTAATTTACTCTTTTTCCAGAGTATAATCAGAAAATCCCTACCCGCTTCTACAAGGCGTACTGCCTCAGTTGTGCTCAGAAAGATGGGCACTCCTGCCTCAGCCTCAGTTCTGTTTAGTGAGGGAGAAACACCGAGGCACATACTCAGGAACATCCTGCAGACAGGTGTGAGCACTGCCCTGCTTTTCTTCTCACATCATGTTGCAGTTGTTTGTTGTCCTTTTAAAAGTGTGATATCTTTTGTGATTCAGAGCCTGTGAAGACCCCTGTGGTTCATAAGAAAGCTACCTCAGAAGAGCCGCAGCTGCCTTCAGTCAATTCCAGCATTACCAGCAAGCGTCCAAGGTGAGAGTGTCTAACAGGATGTTACTGACATTTGGGAAGCCCATCTTAGTTGTGAGGAACTTTTTGTATCATTGAGTTTTAACAAAAAAATCTTGTTGCCCTGCAGTCTCTCCAGCAGTACTGGCTGATTGTTATGACAAGTTTGTTTTTATTTTTCTGACTTTCAGTATTGAGCTGTCAGCATTGGATCTGCCTGACTTAACAACTGGCAATGTCACAACCACTGCAAAGGGACTGAGCAGAAAGAGACCGCGTCAGAGCTTTAATGTAACAGCTTTTGAAAAACGGCTTAAAAGGGGAGATGGTAAGGTTAAGGCCACTATTGATAGAAATGATTGAAAGAGATTATATAAGATCCTACACATTTTTTTTACATTCATACATTTTTGCAGTAAGGTTTGGGTGTTCTAACTATACTCCTGCTGCAAACGTGAGCTGTATCACACAGTTATGGTACAGATACAGATTTGTTGACTAGCTATTGGATGCTTAAACTTACAGATATTGAAGAGGGAAATGAAGAATCAGTAGATGACCACTCATCACTCTCTTTGTCAAGGTAAACTCCGTAGAAACTAATATCATGTAGCGTTTCTTTTTTTTAACAGATAAATTCTGATTTTCAGGCATTGTCTGATTTGCACTGACTGACTTCATTTACTACACTTGTTTTTGTCATTTGACAGCATTTATATTCCCCTTTACAGTAACATTGGCCTTCCTGATTTATTTTGCAGTCCCACTGCTCTGGATCTAAAAACACCCTTTGTGGATGTTCAGATTAAAAATAGGGGTCTGCAGAGAAGGGTTCTCAACCGTCAGAGGATAACGGAGGAAGATTTTGGAGCTGCTGTAAAATGGAGGAAGATGGGAGGTAAGCATGGTGATTAACAATTATCCTACATATTTTACTGAATAGCTGATGGATGCCTGTGCTTACAGATGGTGAAGAAGGAAAAGAAAAATCACTAGGCGACTACTCATCACTTTCTTTGTCAAGGTAAACTGCATAGGAAACTACATTTATTTTTAACATGATCAGACATTGTTTGATCTGTCACGACTGGCCTTATATCTTCTGTTTTGTGTCTACTGTTTACCATAACAACCTGTCTAATTTGTTTCGCAGTTCTACTTCTCTGAATCTGAAAACACCCTTTGTGGATGTTCAGACAGAGAAAAGGGGTCTGCAGAGAAGGGTTCCCGAACGTCAGAGAGTCACAGAGGAAGAATTTGGTGTTGCTATAAAACGGAAGCAAACGGGAGGTGATCATGGCATTTAAAATGCTCATCTTAACCTACACTACCAAAAATGTCCTGTTTTTGTTTAATGTCACCATACTGTATGTTTAACAACTCAATGAGAGCACTGATTGATTTTTTTTTTTTGTTAAGTTTGTCTATTAACCAGCTACATGAGCAAGTAAGATGAAACTAAGGTAGCTTGTTACTTTTTAGAAGGGAGGAGTAAATAGCACATTATAGAAAAAAACTTTTCTGTCAGCTGCTGTCCTCAGTGCCACTAATACTCTTGAATGTTTATCTCACTCACTCTAACCCAGATGGGGGCAGCTTGGCACCTGGGAAGCAGCTTCTTAGTGAGACTACCTACATAGAGGGCTTCACTTTGGGCCAAAGTAAACTCAGCGAACATGATATCACAACTGATATCTTCAACTGTAACACGGCACTCTACGCCCAGCCTGGTGCTGTGGCTTCCAACTTCTCCGCTGTTGCAACACAGGACAAAATCACAGTGATGGCTTCTCAACTTCAGAGACAGGTGAAAGAAATGGAAGCAGAGCAGCACAACCTGGAGAAAGAGAAAGCAGTGTATGCATTTCCATTTGAGGAGGGGGTTGTGATGGAACCTAAGAATGAAAAATGTGTTTCTCAGTCAGAGGAAGATGTGCATACAGCTGAATTTCAGGAGGAGGATGGGAAGTGTACTGATGGTCAGAGTGCAGCTCATCCTCCTCCTGAAGAGGACCCTGCAACCAGGTCTCAGTTGGAGGAAGAAAATGTTTCAGTAGACTCCCAAACTGAAGATGATGATGGTGGAGTTTATTCCCAGCCTAAACAAGATGCTACTGCTGTGTCTCGGCCAGAAAAAAAGGAGGTTGAATCAGACCCTCAAGCTGAAGACGAAGTTGGAGCCAAATCTGAAACTGGAGAAGAAGGTGCTGTGACATTTAATCTGAGAGGGGTGTTGGTGGGGCTGTGCAATTAATCGAATTTTCGATTTCGATTTCGGGGCTCAACGATCACAAAAATGGTGTGATCGAGAAAAAAACGATTATTCAGTTTTTTTAAGTTATTTTGGCCTGCGTTCGCACATCCGCACTTTCATTTTCGCTCCTTCCCCTTGTGTATGTCGTATCTAATCGCATTTAAAAATCAGCGCGAGGGAAGATGGCAGAAAAAGATCAGCCACATTAGTCTTTGGTCAACAAAAAAGGTAGAAGAAATTCTGTTGTCTGGGAACATTTTGCATTC